TCCCTTGGTCAGGCTGAGGGAGGAGATTGGGAGTCCCTGGGAGAGAGGGAGGTCCCTTGGTCAGGCTGAGGGAGAGATTGGGGTTCCCTGAGGGAGAGTGGGAGTGGTTGGAGTCCCTTGGTCAGGCTGAGGGAGGAGATTGGGAGTCCCTGGGGGAGAGGGAGGTCCCTTGGTTAGGCTGAGAGAGAGATTGGGGTCCCCTGGGAGCGAGGGGGGGTGGTTGGAGTGCCCTGCTCAGACTGAGGGAAAGATTGGGGTTCCCTGGGGGAGAGGGCGGTCCCCTGGCCGGGCTGAGGGAGAAGATTGGGGTTGTTCCCCCAGCCATGTCTGTATTTTGGGTCCCCTGTAGCATTAGTCCCTGCTTGGTGGGTGTCAGCAGGGCATTCTTGCGACAAAGGGGCTCCTCAGGGGCACGTAAAACCAAACCCACACCAAGCCCCAAAGCCCCTGCACCCTTTTTTCCAAAACACTGCTGTTTATTGGGGAATTAAACCTCAGGATCTTGATGCTGCTTTGCTGCTACATGTGTCGATTTCGTGAAAGGCAAAAGTTGTCAGTTTTGTCTCGTGGCTGCAGACAGGGGCTTCGATCTCACTTTCCGGACAGCGGATGATGCAGGCCTGTCCCTGATAAAATATGGAGAATTTCTGTATGACAACTTGATCATCTTCTCACCATCCATAGAAGGTAAATACATGAGGGGAAAACTCAAGCGCTTTTGAAGCTTGGTGGCATGTTTGGAAGGGGATTTCCAACCGTTTTGTGAATTTTAATTAAATCTTGCGCTTTAGATGTTACCTTTTGCATCTCGTACCTGGTAGCAAACTGCAGGTACATCCAGGCTTTTAACGGTGGTTCTTTCGGCCATGGTAAAAATGATTTGGTGTTTTGCTGTGGTTTAATTCTGCCAAGGTATTATTTCTGAGAACCGGTCATAAATTTCTGGTGTGCACTTTCAGATTTTGGTGGAAACATCAACGTGGAGACCATCACCGCTTTCATCGACGGCGGCGGCAGCGTCCTCGTCGCCGCCAGCTCGGACATTGGTAAGTACAAACGCTCATTAGAGCAAATTAGCGTGTTTCAGCCGCTGCTTGTAACAGGTACCTACGCTGCTTACACTCTGCAGCGAGCAAATAGTTTATTCATCCTTCTCTGAGTTCCTGCAACAAAAATGGTGAAAAACCGCGGTTTCTTGTTGTGAACCTCGAGGTCTGTGCTGTAAGGAAATGGGTGATAAATAGATTTTTTTTTTGTTTGTTTGTTTGTTTTTTACATGTTGAATAGGAATTTAGATGAGGGAGGTTGTGATGCTCCTCGGGGTTTGGCTCGTAGAGCGTCAGAATGTGTGGCCCTAAGCTGAATTGACTTTTTATGTTGAGTGCTGAGACTGGTGCTGTGTCCCGAACACGCTGTGTAATGGAGAATCCGTTTTGTCCTTCCAGGTGACCCACTGCGAGAGCTGGGCAGTGAGTGTGGGATTGAGTTTGATGAGGAACGGACCGCTGTCATCGACCATCATAACTACGATATATCCGACCCCGGCCAGGTAAGCGGGTTTACCTGCACGTTTTGGGGTTTTTTTTTAATGAGAACTCAGGCATAAAGTTGAGTCTTCTGTCCTTGTTTTCCCGTTTTTTCTTCCATCTGTCCTCCGTTTTCTCAGCTTCCTCCCAAGAAAGTCATAAATAGTTCTGCTTGACAGCATGACATAACGCTATGAAGCTATGCTCGTTTGGGGTCTTTGCCCTCAAATCCATCTTTCTGAATTTCCTGGGTTTGATCTTTCCACCGCACGGATTAATTTCAAATTGTCACCATGCCTCAGGCAGTCACACCGCGGTTAACGGCGGGTTTGAACCACTCTGAAGTGCGTGTGGGGGAATTTCAACCTTGGGTGAAGCACATCAGGCACTGCACATGTGGGAAGGGGGATTTTCAGTCCCAGAGACCAGTATAGAAACAGAAACGTTTCTATCATCATTTTTTTTCCCCCTCATGTCATCCAGTACTTTAAAGTTGAAGCATATATTAAGGTCTAAACTTAATATACTCTGCTATTTTTTTTATTTAAATTTAACTAAGCAGTACGTGGATGTTAGCCTAGTTTAAGGATGAAAGTTGCTAAATATGGGGAAGTAAAATACTGTAGGTATTGCTGTCTTCATCAAAAGGTGGTTTACGTTTCCTTATGTATCAGTATTAATTTAATTCAATTATAATTAAACAAAAAATGCTGGGTTTCTGCTTTTTAATTGTATTGTAACTTTCATCCAAGAGCTGCTCTATTTTAATTGTCCATAAAAGCAAAGTTAACTTTCAAATAACGAGAGAAGCTGTCGCTTGCCGTCAGAACCTAGCAAGCACCAACCCACCCGCCCGCGCAGCGTGTTCACGCCGATCTCTCGCCTTTCTCCCAGCACACGCTCATAGTCGCGGATGCCGAAAATCTCCTGAAGGCCCCCACCATTGTGGGGAAGGCAGCGCTGAACCCCATTCTTTTCCGAGGAGTTGGGTAAGCGACCCGCGGCACAGCGTGGGGTGTGAGGTGAGGTAAGGTGGCTGTTGTTGGGGAAGCGGAGCAAAAAATACCAGTGTCACCGTGAGGTAAGCGTCAGGTTAGCCGGCTGTGCCTCTCAACTCGAGCAACCTCTCTTGATTTCAGATAACGATAAAACAAAAATCTCCAAAGCGGCTTAGTTGTTAACGTAGCAGCGTTTCTTAATGTAAATTGGTGAAGCTTGACTGTGTATCTCGAGGAAATATTTCATTTTGTGGCGTGTGTGGTGGTGCCGCACCCCAAGGGCGAGGAGGTTTGCACAGTTGCGTTGGCAGCCGCGCGTTCCCCGGGGCGCGGGGGGTCCCGGGGGTCTTCGTGCTGCTCACCTGGCCTCTCCCCGCAAGGATGGTGGCTGATCCTGACAACCCGCTGGTGCTGGACATCCTGACTGGCTCTTCCACCTCTTACTCCTTCTTCCCGGATAAGCCTATTACTCAGGTACGTACTGCTGCTTTTTCTCCTCATCTGGGCTATGTTTCTATGGTTAAGTCCCTCAAATTTCAGCAACTCAGAAAAATCCTCGAGTGTCCATTCCCCCAGTTGATTTTTGAAAGTGTCAGGCTGTCGCCCGCTTTCCGACATTGCCCTGGGAATCTTCCTCTTTGCTTTTTGTCGGTGGGAAAACATCCGGCGTGAGGGATGCTTCGGAAGAAAGGCCAGCCGGCATCAAAGCGTGTCTCTTGGTTTCCGCTTCATCGCGGACTGCGCTGGCTACAGACCGTTCCACCCCGCAGCAACCTGGCGATTGACTCTCTTTTAATCATCCCTTAAATTGGCTAAACG